GGAGGAGAAGTAGGTACTGGCACCATGGTTCCTCCTCAGGTTCTCGATACTAACGGGAGAAAAAAAAAGTTTATTAACTAYTGTTATAAATTATATWTATGTCTGAACCACTAAATTAACATTATCAAAAACATTTAAGCAATATGTATATAGGATTGAATACACTGTTTGATACACAAAATATGTCAATGATGAGTTTATAAAAATACAGGAACCAATATTCAAACTCTCAGTATAATTATATTGAATCAAAGAATTTAAATTTAGTTGAGTACAGATTTGTCAAAATTCATTAGTGAAAAATGGTAGTAATGTACCAAATACCTACTTCATATTGACTATGAGTATTGAGTATTGAGTATAGATAGTAGTTGAAACGTTGAAAGTTAAATATTTTATTATATATATACATATATAGGTACTGCAATATACATACTGTATGGGAATAAGATATTCTTATTTCTTACTACGATGATATAAATTACAAATAAACTGTAAATTAGTGTATTATTGTAATAATTCATAATTAATTTTAACATTATAAAATATGATAAATGATTATTGTTAGTTTTACATCTTGTATACTAGTATACTTCTAAGTTATATTTTGTATATGAATAATTTTTRTAAGAASATCGGGATAGTTTGTAATTAATAAAGCATGTTAGTATTTATATTTGTTGCTCTTTGTATCTTTTTTAATTTTTTTTTTAAATATTTATAAAAGCGTTATTTTCCTAATCTATACTGACAATTGAAATATTTTACTTATAAATCTTATAATTATATATTTATCATATTAAAATGGCAAAATGGCAAAATCAAAATATAATCTCATAAGTCATTWTTTATATACTTATAGTATAATACAGTACAATTATTTAGATTCAATAGATTGCAATATGAAAACAAATTTAATGAAATATTTACATTAACAGAGTATAAGACTTTACTAAAGGTGAGAAATAATAAATATTACATAAGTCAGATTTATTTTTAACTGCGAAATCGCTAACATGGAGCAGGGAAATGCATGAGTATTTTTTCCTCCCAGTCTTATATAATATATTAATGTAATTACTAATTAGGTATAACAAATTAATTTTATATTAGGATTATTATTTATACTTTATAGTGGTTAATATTTTGTTCGGTATAATATACATTGAAAAAATGTTATTATAATAATATCGTGTATAAACGCATGTACCTATAAGAAAAAAAACATAAGTAGTATGTTTTCGGGATACCACTAACATATTTTTCATACATTATACAATACATATGGTATCTATGGCATTGAATGATTTGACAATATAATATATACACAATTTTACGATGACCACCGTTACAAATCTGCAAAGCAACATATTAATATTTATTATTTAATAGCAACTTGGTGTGCCATTTTTCAAGGTAAAATGTACCTATTTAATAATTGCGAACTTGATCGATTTATATTATACAAAGTTACTAATTGGTGTATACACGACATGAGCGTGTACAATCAAAACGCACTCTTATAATAACATATACACAAGTAATGTCGATTAATTTAGTTATGAAATTGTCCGTCATCGATATAATAAGAAAATAATACCATGTTTTCGCAAGATTTGTTATATTATCAAAGTAGGWATCAATATTGAACCGTTTTTATATTTTAGTKMCGGACAACGAAAACGAATTTATGCGTAAGATATATTCATAGGAACTAACTTCGTTAGTATAGGATTATTCTCCTTAATAATTATAAGTGGTCTTAGGTTCTCTCTTTAGGTATCTTTACCTAAGCTATTAATTATTTTCTTGATAAATCCCAGTATCCAATTATGTAATCGTTATATTTGATAATATAGTGTCATTGTTAATTAATTAACATAATAATATTATTATATCGCATTAATAACGTCATGTACCTAACTTTCCTGTAAATTATCGAATAGGCAACCAAAGCGGTACTCGTGAGTTTATGAAATATATATCGACACTTTCCCGGCTCAAAGTATATATTTTTCTCGCTTTCAGACCTTGGTACAATTTAAATTGCGCATGATATCACATTGCGGGATGTGTATTGCATTGCATTTGGGTTCGAAAAGTCCAATGGCACGAGGAGAGTAAGTAGTAGAGGGGCATCATTCGACTTTTTTGTCTGAGAGGGTTATTATGAGTTAGTCCAATTCCATTCCCCATTTGTATCCGTTCATGGATCTGGTTAAACATTAAAATAAGAATAAAATATTATGTACTCCTAATTTGTAATACATATATCTAAATAATAAACGTAGGTATGTGATTGGCATGATGGTTTGTAGAGTAAAATAATCAATCCGCCATGAACAAAACGCGAAGAAATGTCTTGGGACCGGCATGCCCGAAATGAAATACTTGCGGAGACTTACCATGATCATAACAGATCGTCTGCACTTGGCTACCTACTCGAAACACCGTCGTCATCAAGATACAGCTAGTGAGACTGCACTTCTTCGGCACCAACTAGTGACTACAACAACATGACCRCGACTTGCTGACATGGTTTGGTGGTTCATGAACCTTTATTCTTGGTGTAGTACATCATCCGTAATTTGAACGATAAAATGTATAACCCTGGTACTTATCCAAAGCTATTGTACACTACACCGTCGACATCTACAGGAAATATAACGACGCATGCAGCATTCCTAATCGGTGCTTTTATTTTAAATAAGACTAAATATAACTAAATTGTAGTATTTTATGTAAAATTGACGACGATAGGTTCAATGTTTAGTATTTTTTTTGGATTATTACTATAGACATTTTAGATTTTTAGGTTACTCAAGGTGTAATGTAGAAGTCGATTTCTGCGGTTTTCTCTGATTCTATTTCTTTTTTTGAGCTAAAATTTTTTATTCATTTGTAAATGTATAATATAATTTGCTGTGCAAATAAGTTCCAAAATTATGTTGAAATAGTCAATACACCACTTATTACCAGCTAATTTTTTCAACTCAAGCGATGCACCTTTCGGTAAGTCAGGTATTTTAAACGCTGTGTCTATATAATACCTGATTATGGTTGGTAATATAATGTACGTTATACTATAATAGTGGTGTGTTGTAAGTTCATGAGCTATTCGATTCGACTCGATAAGTCGACTCTTTGAAATTAAATGAACGAATCGAATCAGTGTTTCAAGATTTAGCAATTAGCTTCAGTGATACAGTTCAACGTTCAACTCATACTTATCTTCTATTTTATAAGACAGTGGGATTAACCGTTATATAATATATAAGGATTATATATACTTATATGATTGTACCATAAAAGCATAGAAGTTCAAACAAATTTAAATAAAGTTAGGCCTTGGGAAATTTTCATTCCCTGTTTTGTGCCCATATGTAACTCGTAGGTATGTAGATTGTACATTGTACATTGTACTATCGTGGTTATAAGAATTTGAGTTAAAACTTCGGCTACAACTCATTTGCGTACATTTACCTTTTTTACAACTCATTTGCGCACAATTTACGAACAATAGAAACCTTTTTTCCAAGAAATGTATCCACGTATAGGGTGTACATAATCTGCGCGTACCTCCATATTTTCAATTTGGTCAACACTGATAGTGGACAATAATTATTATAGTCAWACAACATTTTCCTTSGCCCTTTAAAAGGCTTAGGACTTTCAGTATCATCATATTCTGATGTTATAGACTGGCGGGTTTGAAAATGTTGTTTTAGCTATTTATTTTAGAATAGCTTCCTTAGAAACATTATTCACAATTTTGTCAAATTACAATAAATTACGGTACTGCTCCTGTCTGATAAAGCGGCCCATACACCATCAATATTGACCGCGTGTATTGGCTGTATTGAAGGTACTTCAATTTTTTTTAACGGGTGATCATTGATATCAATAATATTGAACGTGTTGGGCAGCTTAAGACACTGTACATCCAAAATTGTACCTAAAAGCTGGTTTTCATTGTTTACTATTTTTTGCGCAAACGAGTTGTCGTAAATTTAAAAAATATATTAAAATGTGCGCAAACGAGTCTCCACCAAAACTTCATACGGCTTATTAGTATAAGGTCTATGGTTTCGGTTTGATTATCTTTATTTTTTTATTTTTTATTTGGGTCACGATCTTTGAGATTGGGTTGCAATGGGTCAGACTTCTATAATGTCGTATACTAAGACATTAAGCAATTTGAAATTTATTTGGCTAACAAAGCTGACATAGTGAAATGAATCGCAAAAAATGTATGGTACGAAAATTGGGTCGCGATTCAAAAAGTTTGAAGACCACTGCTCTGCTTAATATTATCTGTGGTTCAATATTAGGTATGTCTCTATTATGTCTATTCTATGAGATAATAAAGAAATGTATGTGGCTTGGTGAGGCATGAGGCGCTGTCATACACTTAATCTGCGGAAACGTACTGAGCGTACGTACCGGCCGCAGTTGCTAGCTCCCGGATGGGTAACCACCCGGGATTTTTAGCATCATATCCTTGACACACATACACAAACACGTGTTACAACCCTACCCACTTAAAAACTTACAAACAAATATACAAAAATAACCCCTACCGTATCACCCCCACACCCAATGGCCGATGTTGCCACGGCCCCACGGGTTCCCCTTACAAAAAAGAAAAAAAGAAGTGTATTCTCTATTCATTAGGTAATCATTTCTGAAATCCGAGGTAGGAAGCCACGCGGCATCTTGCTCGTGGTGGCGTCAAAAGACCTTGGAGCAAGATCAGCAAGCCAGTAATTACCGATTAATTAACCATGAATCATCTTCGAAACCTTGGCATGTCAAATGGAGCCAATCTGCCAATCCCCAAAAAATTGTCCACTTAGAAGGTAACTACTATTTTATGAAGATGTAGAACCGTTGATTTTTATTTAATTCTGTAATATTGTGATTACAGTGATAACGTTGATTTTGGTATCTTTTCGTTATGAGATTGATAACAAACATTGTATGTCTGGAATTATTCTGAATCTATATTCTATTCATTGAAATTGTTGTTTTCAGTTTAGTAATTTGTTAGTTTGTTACTTGTTTAATTGAAAATTAAAATTAAGTGTTGTTTAGTATTTTATGTGTATAACTAATAACTAATAAAATATTCGTGACATTACTTTTATCAGATGTACCTAGGTAGTGTTTATATGCTACTGTTGTTAACTGCCTGTTACATTTTTCAAATACAACATATAATATAAGTATTTGATTTTTAACCATAATTTTTAAAATAATTTATACTGGTTTAAGATTGTCGATTTCAACTGATTTGCAAGAACATCTCAGTCATCAAACATCAAATTCTGAAAAACCAAAGATGCAAAATAATGTTTCTCCATCATTTGATCCTGAGTAATATTTTTAAAGTATTTATGAAGTTATGTATTTAAATTTATATTGTTCAATGTGTAGGGTTATTACACCGTTATATGACATAAATGATTTGTATCAAAATGCTCAATGCTTTCACAACGCTCAATGTTTTCACAACGCTCCTGAARWTAGCAATAAAAAAAGCAAAAAAGCAAAACTAAATTTAAAAGTATGTAATGAATAATCAAGTTATAATATATCAGTGTTATAGAATTTAGCAAAAAATAAAAAAATAAAAACAACAAAATTGTTGTAAATACAAAAATAATTTATTAAAAGTCAATATTTAAAAATATTAACTTTGTAACTTTTCATCTATTGTACATAATTTGTTGCTATTTTATTTTTACAATGTAATACAATTTAATCTCTAAACTTATGCTGTAATGCTTTAAATAAGCGGTTTTCAAACTTTTGTGTACCACTTTAGTATATTATCAATCAGTCAAGTATCACTAATGATTAAAATTAGAATCATTCATACTTTACATAGTTAAATACATTTATTTTAAACAAAAGGGCAGTAAAATACTATGATAAGCTTTTTTTATTAATAACAATTTATTAGTGTTTTTAAACTTACGMCTTCCATGTACCACCATGTAGTCTTCTACATACCACAGTTTGAGAACCACTTCTTTAAATATTAAAGGTTAGAGCACAGACTTCTATATAAACTAGATAAGTAACTCCAGACATAAGTTGAAGCCGGGTTCCGCCATTTTCTTGGTTGGCAAATAGTATGAAATATTAWATATGTATTTATGGTAAAAATTAATTAATGTTGTATTGTATTTTATTATTTCTAGACTTGTTGTTTGTAACAAAACAAAATTATTTTATATAGGTCATTTTGTCATTATTGTTATATTTCACCTATAAAAAAATTTATAATTTTATTTTATTTCTTATACATTTTGTGTATGCCAACCAATGTTTTGCCAACCAGCAAAATGGCGGTCGTCTCCGTGCGGGCTTCACTGACAACAATGTAAATATTATAAGAGTACCTTATCTAGATAGTATAGAAGTCTGTGGGTTAGAGGTAACAGTTATTATTAGCAAAATCAGCATAATCATCATTTTAGATATTATTAAATATTTAATAATTGTTACCTATAACATAAATWAATTAATTATTGTTTCAGAATAATGAYAATTTTCAAATCACTACACAATTTTTATTTGGTCATCATATGCCACCATATTATTCAGTATTAAATCATACACTAATGAATAAATATTTATTGCATTTATTCAATCCTAAAGCTCCTATTGCTAAAGTTCTGACGGTTAGTATATTAAATTATATAATATATTTAAATAAAAACCTAGAAATCCACAACCTTTTTACTTTTATTTTAGTAATTACGCCTTTCACAAGCAGGCATTTGCTTCACTTAAGATCTGTTTTTGGGCATCAGTGATACCGAACATAATTTTAATGAGTAAAGTTTTATGAAGACAACATTTTGATGCCTGTATTTCAGTATTTACTGCTAATAATAACAACAATGTGGTTGAAATAAAAAATTTTTAAAAAATTAAAATACAATTTGGACTTTTTTAAATTTTTGTACAAAAATAATTTATCTTTAAGTTTTCAACTAAAATATTATTTCATATAGTTATTTATTTACAGTTTAAATACTTCAATTGCAAAAACCATGGATTACATTTTGATTTTATTAATTTATTATATATTTTTTTAAATATGTTTAGATGCATAAGGGAATTATTGAACATGAGCGAGAAATGTTTGATCATTGGCTTTCAAACCTTTGGGAAGAAAATTTGAAAAATCGTCGACTAAATGCCATACCRTTCATTGAGAGTTATATTAAATCTGCTTGTAATGTAAGACATCATTCAAAATATAAATGTTTAAAATAAGCACTTGAAATTTACTATTTATGTAAAATAGCTAAAATGTTATTGTATGTTTTAGTTTTCAAATGATTATATTAAATCTCACTATGGTGGTACGTATAGTTCAAAGATGAAGATCGACTATAATATAATAGATGAGGTTGAAGTGAATAAAATTGAAATGATATATTGTAAAAGCATACATACTGTAAGAAATAATTATTTTTCATCAAATCAATAATCATTCAGTCCTATTATTGTTGTTAATTAATAGTTATAATTCAAATTTTTTTAATAACTAGGATACAAATCATACAATGATTAATCTTCCTATGAAAATTGATATTGAAAATTTAGAATCAAAAATTTCCTTTAATGACGGTGTGTTTAATCCACCTCAGAAAGTTCCTTGTAAGTATTAACTTTATAATACACAAATTATCTTTTTTTTATTTACTTAAAAAATGAAAACATTGTTTAGTTATTTTAATTAATAATTATTTAATCATATAAAATTTAAACAAATTTAATCATACCAATATTGAGTTTTGGGCTGATTGGTTCAATTTTATATATATTTGACTGTTGTAATTTTAAAAGACTTCACTACCATGAGTGTTGTTTCAATCACTTTTAAAATACAAAACATTAGTTTAGCAGAACAGGCTCAGCTCTAAGCTGTGGGGATAGTTAGCCATGGGGCCATGGACGGCATTAAACCTCTCTATAAAAGTWCTAACCCACTCATTGAAAAATGTAACAGATTTTCGCATCTCAGTTTTACAAATGTTAAATTATTATTTTAAAATAATGATAGCYATTTTCTACAATTTCAACAAAAAGTATATTTGTTTAGATAAAAAAAAATATATATATAGATATATTTTATTCATTTATTATTGCATTTACTAAATATACTAAGTATTAATTATAGAATGGAAATAAAGATATGTACCTAAAATCTTTGGCTAAAATTCAGTGAGTCATATTTATCTGCTCAATAATAAATACAATAATTTAAATTTATAAAGTTAAATGAAGCATAACTATTCAACCATAAAGGTGTATGTTATAGAATTAAAAATAAAATTGTCAAATTTATAAATCATTGTTAATGAAGTTGTTTAAAGTCTGTATTAAAATATTTTCTTATTTATATTAAAAAAAAAAAAAAAAACATTACTTAACCATGTAGGAAGGATTATTAAAAACTTATTATTTATTTAAAAGTCCTTATATATTCTATAAATAGATTTAAAACTATTCAATGGTTTAAAAAATTAAGTGTGTTACTAATTTACAATTTCAATGTTATATTAAAATTAATTTGATTAATTATCTAAGTAATCACTGTTGTTTTTGAAAAAACCTTAACCCATATATTAAATATATTTATTTTACTCAGCACCCCCCGTGATAAAAAAAACTTCTTACGTGACTGCAACAGAACTAATTGTGTGTAATTAATTTTAATTACTATTAATTCGCCTTTTATTTAGGGGTTTTTGTTGGCTTTGATTGATATTTTTTTGTTATTAACTGAGTTTTAACTAAGTAAAATATTAGAATTATAAAATGCTTAGGTATTTATATATAATATTCTGATCTGTACGACTACATTTTATTTAGTTGACCATGCAAATTGGTTCTTTTGAATGAAATTTTGCTGTTATAAGATTATAAGATAGTGACAAACACAAGTGGGTGTAGCRCCCTTTCAATCTACTGACATTTTGTATATGGTCTAACAGTGTTAAAGTGTATTTTGATACTTTCAAAACTAATAGTTTATAAATTAAATTTAAAAAAAATTAAAATTAATATTAATTAATTGGCATTCACACTGATAAAAACATCTATAMTCTGTCTTACRAAAAAACGAGATTGTGTCTCGACCAAAATCGGTCATTCTTGCGCATCCCCACGCCGCACCRCAGTGCTGCAACGACGACGACAGTCGTCGCTGGTGGTTGTGGTGAGGAGTAAATGGTGTAGCTCATTCTACATGCGCGAAACGGTCCCGTTCTTTCGTGAGACAGGCTATACTTGTGACACTAATGCAATTTTATTTTAGATTTCAGTAATGTTGCTTTTGCAGTGGAGTAATTATGGAAGAGATTTGGGTGTATATCCTCTCTATGACTTAAAACTGGCAATTCATATTTATTTAAGTGTTTGATTAACTATAAATAATATAGGTATTAGGTATACTATTACTTATTATAAAAAAAAAATGCATAAAAATCTTGACTCCCCTTTACTAGCTATACAGAATTAAGATAATATTACTTTATAATAAACACCAATAATACTTTATAAATTTATAATAAACAACAGTTAGTTCCAAAGTGATTWTTTGAAATTATTTCGGAAACCAACATATTTCACCGAGTTAAGAACAATCTAATCAGAATTTGTAGGACAGAGTTACTTTTAAATTTATACTTTGAAGATTTATGATATTTATGTCTTATGTGATGGCTAATATGATTTACTAMTGTGTTATTTATAGTTGTAGAAGATGAATGTTGTCGTGCACTATCAAAAGAACATGGTATTGATGTTAACATATGTTTAAGTAGTATGAAAAATATTATGAATTTAGAGAAACCAAATAGCTTATGGATTATTCCTGTCAATGTAGATATTGGTAATTATGGTGTCATTTTTGAACGTTTAAACAAAGACTATAAAAAAATATATCAATTTAATCTTTTTAGATACTGATGAGTGTAAAACAATTTATGTTGGAGGGACATTAGGTACAGGACATTTCTCTCAACAAGAAAAAAGTTGGTACTATCTCAGAAAAGAACTGAAAAAAAAATTCAAAAAAGTGTAAGATATTCTATAATTAAAAAATAATCATATTATTTTTAATCATTTGAATATATAATTTTTCTCTAAGTGAAAAATTAAAAATTGTCTATTTGCCTAAAATTGTAATTATTGAAAATTTTATAGTTTTATTTGAAACTAAATTAAATTATATCATTTTATTTTTATTTTTGTAGCTTGTCTAATGAAGTCATTCAGAACAATAATAATAATTATAACTATGATAAATGGATGTTAAAAGTTAATGATGTCAATGGTATCAATAAATCATTTAATTTACTTGTAAGAAATAAACCACATGGTATACAAGTAAGAATATTTCATATTGAATTAAATATCATGTAATTATCTGTAATAATCTGTATATGTTTAGCAACAAAGCAAACCACTCAATACTCCAGGAGTATTAATGCCAAAGATTGAATATCAACCAGAATTTGGCTTTGAAAAAATCAGTGAAGAACAGCTTGTTGAATATTGGCTAGATACAAGCTACAGATGTCCTAACACCAAGTTAGGATTAGGTATTGTACTCACAAAATTAACATAATTTAAATATGTCTTGTCTTGCACACAATACAATAATTTGCCCAGTACATGTCAGTGTAAAATATTTTATTTCGACAATATAGTTTGAAAATAACTTTTGTTCCTCTGATTTTAAGCTAAAACTAAGATAATAATAATATGACTTTATTTTTTCATCTAGTCTCAGTACAGCATAATATGGACCTCATGCAGGTAAAATGGACAATTGGAGAAATAGAGAGTATTAGTTCGAAAGGCAAAGATCAAATTTACCTACAAAGATTGTATATCACTGTAGACAAACTCTCACAACTAGACAAAGGAGAATATGTACTGCTACATAACCCTAAAAAACCATTCCATGTTGACGTCTACCAATCATCAGCGTAATTAAACAAATTTGAAAAATACTAAACATTGTACTTGATGTTATAATTTCTTGTAATAATAAGAAATTATTACTTCTCTAGGTATGGTGGTTTCAATTTAGTGAACATGTATTTAGTTTTACAACAGACTGAAGTATCTGATTCATTGGTTTGGAATCCTATAGATTGGCAAATATTATGTCCAATTCATAATTACTTCAAAGTTGCACCGTGCATGTTCAGGCCAAATTTTAATAATTTAGATATCAACACRATAAGTATGTTACGTATTATTTGCAGATATTTAAAATTACATTTTACACAAATGTTTAGGTGAACAAGTGGCCAAATTTAATAAAGACAAAAAAGCCAAAGAGGATTACGAAAACGCACTTCTTCTAAGAAAAAAGAAGAAGAAAATGGAAAAAAATAAAATCAAAAGAAAATTAAATAGAGAAAGTGATATTTTATATAATATCAAAAATAATATGAAGTAACATAGACATTGGTAATTCATCGAATCAATTAAATTAAAAAAATTGTTCATTGTTAATTTGACGCGTTGGTGTCTGATCTTTTTTTATGAATGGAAATAAATGCATTGAGTAACATTGTATTCATTGGGTTTGAAGTAGTATTTAAAACGTATCTAACTAATAATCTTGTATTTTCTCCAACAATTAGTAAGAGCTGACACCATTTGAAATATTTAGCTAAGGTTGAATTCATTAATATTATTTATATAGAAATAATAAACATATAATGTTAATCAATCAAATTAATATTGAACAAAAAAAAAAGAAATACATTTTTATTCTTATAAAATAATAAGTAATGAAAACAAGTAAAATAATGATTAGTAGTTATTATTAATCATTGTATCAATTTACATAATTTTATTTACAAAGAGAATAAACTGTTGATTATAAATTTATAAAATACAAGTTGAAAAAATAAACCCCTTACATAAATTTGTATGACTAATTACTCCGTCTAATTATTCCTAAAATCCAGTAATCTAAATGAAAATAAATGATACTATATTATATTTTTTCTCATTTCAAGTTTATATATTTTATAATATTTACCAGAAGAAATATYATGTACTCCAAATACAAAGAATTTTTAACTTTTTAAATTTCGGATATAATTTGTTAGTTTATTTTTCATGTTAATTTTTTAGCAGTCTGATACAATGTATCAACAACTTTGCTCATGCTATTTATATTATCTAAAACTAATTCATAAGTTTCATCGATTTCAGCTTCTTCAAATACTATAAGAATGCCTTCACCCTGGTCTAAGATACCATGGAATTTTTTATCCAATATCATCTGTGAAAGTTTTCGTTCAACATTTTCCATTGGTAAATTTATTGATTTGGCAACATACTCAACTTGTACCCTGAAAATACAAAAAAACAATACACACTTTTAATAATTTTGTTATATAACCTTAATCATATCTAGTAACCACCTTTGTATCTTAWATTCTTAAATAATTGTAGAGCTAACATAGTTTATACAAAATGCTAAATAATAATTAAAAAAAAAAAAAACTATGCTCTAAAATTAAAACTCAGATAGATCTCTTAAAACAAGGAGGGGGGATTCTGATGTTCTGTTAATAAATGGTCTCCACTTTACGTTATTTATGTTTGTACATTTTCTATGTTATTTTTATTACTTATTGTAACAGATTAAATATATTTAAATCAAAAAAACCACAATTTAATATAAAGTCATTAATAAGAATGAATATGTTAAATAATAGGTTTTTTTTTATAAATATGATTCATCCAGAATAGTACAATACAAATTATACATTCTTGTACCAAGAAATTTTAATTTCATAGTTTGAAATCTGATATTGTTATTTACCTCGAGTATGGTTCAATGATTCTACACAGATTTTGTTCCAACATATTTCCATAAAGTGTATCTAAATGTGCTCTGACAATTAGATCTTCTTCCAATTCTTTTTTATATTCATTCAACGCAATTTGAAAATCTGCTAAAGATCTTTTGTGACTAGCCCTTGCAATGCTTTTCATTGCTTCTACATCACGACCTGTATATTTTAATGCTAATTTACCGCTCACGATTTGTTGCACATCTTCTGCATTATTTAACATTATCTTTGACAAAAGCATGTACTTCAATGCCTTAAGTGCATTAGATGTACTGTCCACACTGTCGAACCCTTCAAAAGCTTCATAGAAATAAGAATAAGCAGTTTTAAAGTCTTGCTCGTCAGCTGCATGTAAGATTCCTGATTGCAAGTCAAGAGAAGATTGCATTTTAGGTGGACAATAAATCGAGTTTGCCGTGGTTCTAGCAGAAGTTAGAGAGGCCCTTGCCTTAGACAAGTTATTCAGAGCATGGTAGGCCTTGCTTTCCAATAATAAAACGTCAACCAACAAATTTTTATCATCCAATTTTTTCAGTTCTTTTAATAGTACTGCGCCGTGTTGTAACGCTTCTTTAAACATGCCGGAATCGAAGTAAAGGGCCATTAAACGAGACTCCAGAGATTGCCTTAAAAATGTTCGTCGCTCTTCCTTAGCCCATTCTATACACTCCTTGCACAGTTGCAATTCAATCCCTATGCCTGCTTCGAGGTCCAGGAAGAGGTCAACCAGSGACCGCACTAATTTAGCCGCCTTCGCCTTACTTATTTCGGACAAAAACGGTCTGGTCTCTTTGATTAGGGCGGCCAGTTCTTTGGCCTTACCTTCTTTTTTTAAGAGTTCACCCTGCGTGAGGATCATTTGTTCGCGTGCCATAATTCTGTCATGTTCTGTTTCGACTTTCTTCATGGCAAAATCGGACGGCTTGTTGATGCGCGCCAACATCGTAGCACCTGCCATTTCGATACGTTCGAAAAGTGCGATCACGTAAAATACTGAAACAATGTTAAAAGTCTTCAATCACTTCGGGTGATCACTTATAAGGACGAATAATAACAATAATTATTAAATTTGAAACGAACTAGGTCCCAGGTAACACTAAATAATAGAGACTATAGAGCAAATCAGCAAACTGACAAGGGGAAAGAGCATGACCAGCGATTTACTAAAACGATAAGTGTGACCAACATGAATCAGTACCAACCAATTACTAACGAGACAAAATATTTTAGTATACTGGATATGGGGCCACTGATACGACGGGTCTTACCGGTTTCGGTTGTGGTGTAACGGCGGGAAATACATTCATGAGAAATGGCCTTCCCCAGCGCCTGCAGCTGCACCACGTCCCTGTCCTGCTTGTCATAATCAATATTGGTTAAAAGTTTAAAAAAATGAGAGTTTAAAAGAGAAATTAAATTTGTGAGAGRGTAAACAAATAAATTGCCAAAAAATCTCGATGAATGAGCATTGTTGTTTGGTTTACTAATGGAAGGAGTCACGCGTACGTTGGCCGCACTGGTAAGTGACGCCGTGACAATGGTGTGGCGCGGTGAAGAAGACGCTCCCTACTCCTCTGGCTGACTAGTTCACAAGCTTTGTTTATTAGTTTTTAGCGTCTGCGTTTCTCACTACAWTAAAATTGTGTTTTGTCGTTCGGCAATTGTTTCTTATTTTGTTTTCTGTCTCCTTCACTGACCGCGAGAGCAAAGTAGATTTTGGTATTGAATTTTACTTTCGGTCGTATCGTTTTTTTGCGGTACCACCGGTTTTCGATCCTTGTGGAAGATTTTCGACTAATCTCGCGCGAACGAGATTTTAATTGACTCATTGACGGACGGACACGTGAATTGAGCTTCGAAAATGAGTGACGTCGAGGTGAGTAACAACTTAGGGGTACTGCCACCACCCATGTTAGTCGAAGTAAAACGTGACGTTGATTTTCYRTTCTATCGGCGGTGCGTGTCGCGTTTTCGGAGCGAATTCTATGAGTTCTCTCTTGACAATAATTGAGGTTATGTTGCATCAAGAATATTATTAACATAATTTTTATAATAGCTTGCAATTGTTCTCATCGAGCCCCTCTGTCTGATTATTTACTTTATAAGATCTATGTTCACCGACAGTCATTTCGATGTTTCAGGATCGCAATGGGAATTCTAAATCCCGTTCCATCACTCCCAGCCGAAGCCGTAGCAGATCTCCGAGCGATCACAAGTCTCGCAGTCGATCACCCACTCACTCTAAGACACGTTCTAGATCGTTGTCTCGACCACCCAGCCGCAATGGCAGCAAGTATAAGAGCCGCTCTAGGCATTCGTATTCAAGGTCACGTTCCCGGTCCCGTTCGTATTCTGGTGATCGTCGACGCAGTTACCGCAGCCACTCTCGAGGCTCAGGCTCAAGACGCGGCAGACATGTAACTAACATTATATATAATAACAGCGTTAATTCCCGCGCATTTTCACTTTCTTTTGTTTTATTTATTTATATAAACATCGTTTTAGGAAAACCCAAAACCTAATAAATGTCTTGGAATATTYGGCCTTAGTGTGTATACTACAGAACATCAACTCTACGATATATTTGCTAAATACGGTTCTATCGACAAAATCCTCATCATTATTGATGCCAAAGTAAGCTATTAAATATCAATTAATTACTTGGTACAATTTTTCAATTTGTAATATTAATTTCAGAGYGGAAGGTCTCGTGGTTTTGGTTTTGCTTATTTTAAAAAGCATGAAGATGCAAAGGTAGCTAAAGAAGAATGCTCAGGCATGGAAATTGATGGTCGCAGGATTCGAGTAGATTTTTCAATTACCCAACGCCCTCATACACCAACACCTGGCATTTATATGGGCAGACCAACGTAATTATATTCTTTTACATTAGTACTGATGATTTTGTTTGCATAAAAATTAATATTTTGTGATTTTAAATTTTAGAATGAGAGAAGAAAGGTCATCTAGGAGAAGGGGTTATGATAGATATGATAATAACCGGTATGATCGTGGTGATCGGTATGACCGCGGAGAGCGTTATGACAGATATGATAGAGATAGAGATTATGAGTAAGTAACTATTCTTAAATAGTATGTACTTAAGATGACTGTAGTTTATACCCACATATATTGTCTATCCTACATGTGCGTAGCATGGTGAATATTATTCCCRGTAGATCACGTTTAGCTCAGTTTACAAATTTAAGGGAATTTATCTATTATTAAATTTAAAGATACAAATCTTTTAAGTTGGCCTTATAAGCTTTTCATTATGTTTTAATTTTGAAGCTAGATAAGTATTTTAAGATGTRTTAACAATTATCAATTTAAAAATAAAATTTAGTTAAAAGCCCATGAGGTCGTATGAATAATACTCTTACCTTTAAATTTTATTAGAGGTAAATTCACTCTAATTTTAAGGTGATGGAGCTAAATATAATCTGTTGAGCATACAATTTTATATATTATGCACTTGTAAGATAGAGACAATACAGTGGGTATAATGTCCTATTAATAAATTTTTCTATTACCATTGTAATAAATAGTTTGGTAATCGACATTTATTTGTTCTTAGCGATTACTATGAGGGTGGTTATAGAGGCGGTGGCGGTGGTAGAGGTGGTGGTGGAGGCCACTACAGAGAACGCAGATCACCATCCTACTACAAAAACAGATCGCGTTACGATAGGTCACGTTCACGTTCTTATTCTCCACGTAAGTCTTAAAGRTTTTTTTAGTTACTAAATATACGATATTAGTACCCTATCCAGCAATCCAGTGTTTTTTTAAGCTTATTTATTAACTTGCCTATCCCATTATTTTTTCTTCGTTTTCTCGGGTTTTTCTCATATAAGAATTTAAGTTTAAAAAATAATCAATTACTTAATGCAGTTTTTCAGCTTTCAAAGTATTTAATCAAGATTTCTCACATATTCAATTTTTTATTCATTTCCTGAAGAACATATTCGAAGAAAAGAGAATATTTCAAACTGTCAAGATAATAATATATATAAATTGACTTGAAGACTTCTCGAACTTCTATAACTTTAGAACTTTTTTTTTAAAATTTAAAAAAAAAAATATTAAAAGAAGATTCTTCAAATTACAAAAGTAGAACACATGAAGACCCATGTTCTCAATATGACCCAAGGGTAGAAAATTGGTAGACACTGATGAAGATCTTGAAGTTTGTCAAGAAAATTAACAGTTTATCGCCACTAATTACAGAGGTAAATTTATAGAACGGTGTAAATTTCCTCTAAAAAATAACGTCCCAATAGCTTATAATAACTTAAAAATATCAAATTTTGGTTTATGCATGAAAAAGAAGTTCTTTCTTAGTAATTTCCTAAAACAATTTCTATAATAGGTCTGGTTTTGATTATCTTAGTCCCAACATTTCGGTTTATAGTCAATGGCGTTAATACTTTTGTCCAATTATTTGGTAGGCTAATTTTRTTGGTGTTAGGTGTGGCATCAGTTGTGTTATGATATGATATTAAGTTACTGCTGATTTCCCTTTAATTCCCTACAAACTAATCTTGTCTGTGTTATTTTGGATTGGAGAAGTCAAATTATCAAAAATATGACCACTCAACAGACATATTGTATTTTTTAATTTGTCTTGTGGCATATTTTATACAGGGTAAATTATGTACTTAGGGTGTAAATATTTTGTATTTAACAACTCTATAACTACAAAATAAATAATTACCTCTGACAAGTACTTAAAACWTATGATAATATTAAATAAAATAAAAAATTGAATGTGTATAATCTTTTGTGGCGAAAACTCATTAATATTTTGTATTTATTGTATAGAATGTGATTTTTCTAACATAATTAAGTGTTTCTCGGATATTTTTTTTCTTGTATATATAATATACATAAAATTTGAAGTACTTGTTTTCTAGGTTTAAAAGTACTTCAAATTGTAAATGTTTTACATATTATCCAAGAAAGTCTTAATTATTTTATGCAATCACCCTATATATGTATTTTTTATAAAATATTAAATGATAATTGTTCTCCCAAAACTATCAAGTAAACTATACCAAGCTTTAATATTACTATTTATACAGCACATTTTCAGATTAAATAATGAAATTGAGTATTTAAATTTGGTGCTAGTTGTTTATCGCTCTACTACTATACATAACATATTATTCTACCAGAATGGTGACCATCTGTTGTACTAAGATATTAGMATATACTATTTCAAAAATTAAGTAAATTAAAATTACATTGCTTGGTTAGTAATTAATATTATACATGTTAAAGATTATTTTCTTAAGATCCTTTATATTTTTCTTTTTSTTCTATTATATTATTATAAGAGGATGCCACACCCACATATGTTGTCTTATGTTTTTCAAGTGGGTAACATAACATAAACTGTTTTGTGCAGGAAAAAACTGTGAGAGCTAGAGTTATAACTAAAACAAAATTTTCTCCATATAAAAAAGAGAATTTTGTCTGTGCAATATCGTTTTTTCAATATCAGAACTACTAAAAAAGTTATTCATGCCTTAAAAAAAATACGAAATTAATGTATTATGAATCAATAAGAACTTTTTTGTATAAGTGGTATCAAAAAAAAAAAAAAAAAAAAAAACGATATAGCGTAGACCAAAATCCCCCTTTTGTATGGTGAAAATTTCTTTTCTTGGTTATTATTAGCTTTCTCGGTTTTTCTCGTGTGAAACAGCTTTTGCTATGTTACACACATGTAAAATAGATACAACACATGTAGGTGTGGCTGGCATCCTCTCATTATGAATGCCAGTATTAACCATCRCAGTAAATAATAACCTATTTTTTATTCCTTTTTAAGTACCCCAGTTTATAATGTTATRTTTCTACAATAATAGTGCATGTTAAATTAGTGATTACCCATACATTTTAGTAACAAGCCTGCAACATACTGTCATGTTTTGATTAAAATGTTTTCAAAAAATCTTCTAGTTTATTAACCTAAATGAATAGGACACATACAGATTAATTTATAATATAGTATGTATCAATATTTATCAAAATAATAACATTTTTGATTTGATAGCTGATGTAAGGTCACATGGWKTCTGGTAGGGTGATAATTTTTATRGGGTAGAGCGATAATAATTAAGTACTTATAATTTAGTATTTGATTATGTATATTTATAATTTATATCTTATTATAATTAATAATTAAGCTCTTCGTTTTTTGTTTTTTTTTTTTGTTATCTTGAACACAGGTCGTAATAAAACCTAAATGAGCTGGAATATCATCAACACAGGAATGTTTTGTGAAGAAATAGAATATACATAATTTTTTTATTGCCCAATTTTTTTTTTCATACACAAAATTAATTTTTATCTTAAATATTACCACTTTGTAACAAGAAAATTAGTACTATTAAGTTAATCGACTTCATTATTTTTTTTTCATTCATAGGAACATTTTTTTTCTATACTAATTATTACTATGTATTTGTATTTTCATTTGTTCTGCTAAGGTGCGGAAAGAGTTTAAGAAATTTTCTTTGAAGACTAGGGATAACATTGTAATGTGAAGCATTTGTCAAGTCTGAAGAAATTTAAAAAGGAGTGAAGATGTTTTAGTCAAACATTTTGACATTGTAAATTTAGTGTCGCAATTTTAGTTTTTCACAATATTATTAGGCTCACCCTATTTAATTGCTCCTACCTAAATTGTTTTTGGTAAATATAATCAACTTGTAAATAAATATTTTTTTTTTAATTTAAACTTGTCTGACGCTATATTATGCATATGTTTAAATTAATTAATTATGTAATAAGCAAACAGATTTAAGAGTGAATAATAAAAGTTTTCGTATTCTAAATATATAATATTACTAATTGATYTCTTTTCCTAAATCATCCTATTTGGAACAATCTTTATCCTGTGAATATTAATTAATACACAAGTGCTTACTCCTTCATCATATGATATGTTTTATCTTAGATAAGTATTGGTTTTAGAGAAAAAACTCTATTGTGGAAGTGTTAGGGCCAGTCGTACCGTCTACGGTTAAACTTTGATTATGCTTAATCAGCTAATAACAAATATTTAACCGTGCAAATTTGGCCGATTATCTTTAATCAGAGATAGTACCACTAGCCCTTAGTGTTAATTTTTTATTTCTTTAATATTAACCACTGCGAATGTAGAGAAAAATGTTCGCGCGATAGTAATACAACTTTGTGTACAATAACTTTAACAATTTGGATAAGTATAAGTTTATATAATTTGTAGAAGATAAWATAATATGTTAACGTAGAAGTAATATATCAGAATGAAGTTATTAACTAATGTATTTTTATTTGTACATGTTGATTTAGTAATTTTTGATATATCCACTACGATTAAAATAGTAATTTAAACATTCCAAGTTATCTACTAATTAGATACTAATAATTTAAACTGGTGTTTCTTAGTCTAATCTATTTTAGTAACAAAATGGAAAACTATATGACAATTATTATTAAAAAGATATGCCAAGGGTATAATGAATTTCTGGAATARTCGTTATCATTGTCCTTCCCCAAAAGGTATTAATGATGTTGAGWACTCATCAATGATATTTACATGTTACTTTGGTATCTATATACTGCAGTGGTAACGATAAATTTTGTCTGTACTTATTTTACTCTTACCACCGCAGTGTGTGGAATCCATCCTTATAATTAAATATTATCATTTTTATAATTGTCACCAATGTTCATTTAATTTAAATCTTTGGATTATGACCTTTTTTACAATAATTGATCTCAGAACATGACCTATAAAATAATCTATTGCAGTCAATTATTAATTGGCATATTATGTTTAGATTATGACCATGAGTCAACACAATTTTGAGTCCTAATAGTTTGTTTTCCTTGAATATAAGTGTGATTACCTAACTACTAAGGAATTTAAAATCAATAATACATATAATTAACAATTKAAAATATAATATAATTTATTGATAGATATAGCTGAAAAATAAATACATACATAAAAATAATCCTCAAACCAATTGTTATGTTTTGATTTCTTTACCACCTTTGAATTAGATTAGGTGTAAAAAGTTATTAAATAAATATAAGATTAACTCAAAGAAATTAAACAAAAAACAAATACTGAAGGAACTTTAACCATACTGACATTAAAAAAATAGGCAATTTAGTGGTTAAAAAGAAACTGTTAACAATAATTTAACACTTATATACTATCACAAAATAAATGTTCATGTTATTAGGATTTGCCAAAATGTTGGCATTTCTAAGACCTTGGATGATCCAATTGGTATCTTTTGATATAGGCATGTAGTACTGACCAGTTTTAAAGTTTAGTGCATAAAATAAAGCAGTTATGATTATACAGAACATGGCAACCCTAAAAGTACTTACAACACAATGTTACATACTATAAAACAATCATACATCAATAATGGTTAGGTAAAAAATATTTGCTTAAATAATATTGACTTTGTACCATGTAAATAAAATTTTCAATWAATTTAATTAATGTAAATGCAACAGTTGAYACTTTGAAGAGTGAAGAGAATTTAAAATAATTTTCAGAATCTAAATACCTATAYGTAATAATTGTAAATAGAAATTAATAACGCTGGAAATCTTTTAGTTACTTCTAAACAGCAAAAGCCTCCGATACTCAACACATTTTATATTATCACAATAAAAGTATGTTAACTTCCTTAATACCCAAGATTTGTACAGTGAATTGATTTTTTAATATCAATGATTGTCTGATGTTCATAGGTTTTCACTGTTAATTATGATATTCTATGACCTTGATCAATAATGATGTTTAAAATATTAATATAGATATTAAGTAGCACATTTTTGAAACCTAATGTTTAATTACCACAGTATTAAAATATATAGGATTTAAAATTTTTGGTCAATGTTTATCCGCTAACTAGGTTATGTAACGGATTAAGATCATTTAGCTGAATACTTATTGGACGTATATAATCACGTCACTGCTGGTGTGTCTGTTATGTTTAAAATCAAGTTTTGCAGATCTTTTTGAGCTTCACTAGTGGAAACTTGAGTGAAAAAATCATCTTCGTTTTCTTTGATTACATAAGGTGTACTATCAAACTGATAGTGTATACCTAACACAATGTTGAATGCTGACATGTCATACCCGTGACAACTTGAATATCTGTACTGTGGTTTCTTATCATATCTACACCCTTTGGTCTGCGCYCCTATTGAACAAACGTGAAATAATGATTAATTATAACATTATGTCAGGGCAGTGATTACAATAAAATGTCTTTTCTCTAAGTACAAACCTATGGGGGATATGCATTCACTGATGAGCGCACATTGAATCCATGGTAACATGATGTCTTGATGCATRTCAAGAGTATTGTACACAATAAGTTTATTGACTAGGACGAGGGGAAGAAAGAAAAAATTGTCTGCAGGTGTTCGAAAGTAATCAAACATTTTGGGGTGTGTGAGTGTTGTTGTGGCCATCCTTGTCTCCCAGCCGACAATTGATTTGTTGCTGTAGAGGGTGAAAAGTTTTGAAACATTTGGAGATATTATCCGAACATTTGGATCGAGAAACATCACGGCACCAGCGCGATTCAAAGCATCCTAAATGAAAACACTTTAGTTAACACCATGATACCTATACTTTTATATATTTAAAATAAGTTTATACCTGTAACACAAGAGGCCGATATGCTTTGATATGTGTACGGCTTACATGAGATGGAAATTTTGATAGATCAAAATCGATTATTGTACACCGGGTGTTGTTATTACAAAATGATTGCATCTACAAATTATATTTAAATCTTAATAATAATCAAAAAATCTAAATTTAAAAATATATGGAACACTAAGAATGTCTTACAAGGATGAGTTGGTAGTCAGATATTCCCAGGTTGTATACAAGTATAGCACGGTCAGGTAAGTATTTGGCTACACATGTCACAAGCCCAATAGCTTGACTGTGTTCCCCGTCCAACACGTATGTGACTACAATGGGAAGAGTAGAGTTTTTCCAAGATGAGTCTGGATAAATAGCCGGTTTTTCAACAAAACCCAATGCGTACAGATAGTCTTCATTGACCACCAACTCCTTTTGCTCGGCCACCTTCAAATTGTCCTGGAATGAAATTGAAACGTTTAGAAACGACACTCATATTACCACAAGATGGGTTCGATTACTTTGAAGTTTTTGAAGTTGTTAATCTGCTTGTGTGTTTCAGTGACCAGGGTCTCGATGGCTGGCCGGCTCAGACTGTTTTGAAACATTAGGAACAAAATGCTAAACGAAAAGACGGCAATGAAGCAGAAAAGCATGTACCGTGATCGTAACCTCATGTATTGTAACTTAAACATGGAGCTGACTTTGTAGTCAACACCTGTTTAAATGAGTAAAACACAGGTGCGTTTACAACAATACAAGTCGAAAAATCGAAACCCAATTGTTTTGCGACCACGTCGTGCGACGGGATAAATATACTTATCGGCTATTACATAGATATTGTGAGCAATGTGAACGTTTTATGCAAACATTTCCTAAAGCATTATGGACCATGGAGGCACACAATTACACTAATTTATATTTAATTTTAGTTTGTACAGCGACGGGCGGCTGTAAATTTTTATCAGCATAAAAGATTAGTTGATAAGGCTTATCATTTTTCAATTTTGTTCCGAGGTGATTACATAGATATATAATATCTATAATATTATATATCTATGGGTGATTATGACCATAGAAAATAGATAAAGGTMATTTTGATTAATTGTTTCAACTTTCAAGTAATAATATTTTTTCTTTTGTTTTATGCCTAGTTTACACGCTGCGCAGTACTTGTCATTAGTGCTTGTCACTCGCACTATGACTAGCTACTTGTCATTAGTAAATAGAACTGGATTCTATTCACTCGCACTCTCGGTTTTACTAATACTAAGCACTATTTTTCTGTTCACACGCAATGTGTGAGTGCGAGTGACAAGTACTAATGACAAGTACTGCGCAGCGTGTAAACCCGGCATTAGTATTCTACTTCACAGTTCACATTAGTTTTTGCGCHATCACAACTACTATTCTATATTTCTATTTTAATAATTATTATTTATGATACATTTATTTATTATGCCAAATTCATATATTTTTCTTCATTTTAGTTAATTTTTTTTCAGTTTCTCAATAATTGAACTACCTATATAGTTAATTTACTTTTTAATTAACACAATAACTTAACTAGTTACAGACTTCATAGTATAACTTAGCTTTTTCCGGTTGATTTGAAATATAAATCGTCAAGTTAAAATCATGTTTTTGTGTAGATATTACCTAACATGTACCATGGCCTCGTGGCCATAGCCAGCATTTATTTATTTTTATTTTTTTTGAGAGGGGAGGGGGTTCATTTTTTAATCTAAAACTTGAACATAATTTTTAAGAATTTAAATTAAATATAACCATATCAWTGTTTTAGGTACCACTACAAAGTACAAATACAAATTTACTTTATTATTCAAAATACATCAATTTTTAATTATACTACAATTATTTAATAAAAAAAAATTAATTAAATTTACTACAAATCAGAGTTTGATTTTAGAGTAACATAATTTTCTTTGACTGTTTGGCAAACTGATTTAGCACCTCTTCTGAATCAACATTTATTTCCCTGTGAATTGACATTATGCTAATCCCTTAAGCTCTTTTTTCCTTATTAATTTAATTGTATCAACAGTCAACACACCATGTATTTTTACAATGTTAATTGTCAATCCCTAAAATTACTGTATTAGGACGTGACTCTTCTTTAGGCCATTTTGATTTCCATATTGCAAATTCCGCTTGAAAACAGTAGGTTCTATCAATATTTGGGAATAAAACTTTACGCTGTCGTTAATTTCTTCACTAGTGGCATAAAAACATTTAYTCGGAATAATTTATTGCAATGAACTTATTAAAGAATATTATATATTATTATATAWTATTATATATAATATCTATCAGAAAGCTGTATCCTCTTATATGGTCAAGAAATGGCAAAAAAATATTAAGTTTGTAATACTCTTCAGAACTATTAGCGGGCACATTATTACAGTGTGTTCGTCTATTTACTAAACGAGGAAMATTTATTTYTTCTTTATTTTTATTCAGCATAGTCACAGCAATTTAAAACACGTCTGAAAAATGTTTATTRTTATTTTCTATCATTTCGTCAAAAATTACTAACACATTATCKACATCAGCGGTTCTCAACTTTTTTATAGTCACGTACCACCTACACAATTTTAAAATCTTTACGTACCACCTGGCCATTTTTTTTCTTATTAATAATGTAAACGTCTATGTTATATGTATAGAATTTTATTAATAAATTAATTTTTTATAAAGGTAGATTTTCTTCGCGTACCGCAGGTTGAGAACCGCTGATCTTATGCTTCGACWAAATCATCATTTTATTGTCTGTAACTGTTTACACAACGTCAACGTAYAGGTACAAATCAATTATTCTCAACTATTTTGAGAGGTAGTTATAACAAATTTAGCATCTTTAATTATACTTAATAACTGACAATAGACTTTTGAGTGGTTTCTTTATTTATTGAAAATTTGAAAATTACAACTTTTCTAATGCAACATTAGTGACTGGATATAGTTCTTTGAACCACAAGACMCTTTCATGTTTGCAAACCCAACGTGTTTCACATAATGCCACTAATGTACTATGTCTTATATCTGTGGAAAAGGTTCAATGATAGTTGTTCTCAATACTTYGCTACGTCGAGCAGAAGAGTGAAAAGATGTTCCGAGGATTTGAATTATGCTAATACAGTTTCTTATTGAGGGCAATGAGTTGGCGTTTGCCAACGCAAGRTTGAGCGAATGAGCACTGCAGTGTACATAAACAGCCACGACAAAGTCTTTTTTTATCTATTTATTTAATTGTAACACTACACCAAGTATTTTTAYAATGTTTTACAATTTATAATAATTATAATTATAATAAATTGATTAGTGGCGCAACCAAGGGGGGTGTTTTGGGTGTCTGGRCGGGGTGTCTTGAACTGTATAATAGGAAATCTATATTTAATTATATTCAATWACCATTGAAAAACATTTTTCAATCTTTTTTAAAATCTAAATCTAGTGTTATAATTTATAACTGATAAATGTTACCAAGTCTTTTGTCCATAGTTTATCGACAATTACTAAAATTATATGTAACTTTAATCTAAACATACGTGTCATGTACTCACGTGATATAAATTGTTTAGTTAATTAAATGTTGGACGTCAGTAGTGTATTCAGAAATAATTATGATGGTGGTTTGATTCAAATCGTTTGAATAAAATAATATAATAGGTTATAGGTAAATATTTAATAGAAGTCGTGACGAATGTCACTTGTACRTAGTATACTAACAAATTTGGAAATGAATTGGGGAAATACTGTATACACTATTGGCGGACACCCCTTGAAAAAATCCTAGTTACGCCACTGTAATTTATAGTGTAATTACAACAGTATTTACATTTACTACAATATTTTTAAATTTTGGTTAGCTTATGAGTCTAGGTCAGAATCTGAGGTTGAGTTGTTTTCAATGGGTTCTAGTAGGATATCCAGCGGYAGTCGAAGTTTGAGTCTTAAATTGGCGAATCTTCTGCCGATTTTGTAGTAAGTGCTGAAAGTGCTCCGTTAACTTTGTGAAGTTTTTCGTGTACATTTTTAAATATTGTTGTGTTGGCCTGGTAGATAGTTGTGGTAGGCTCGTATCGTTATGTAATTGTTTGTTTCTCATGAACCAAGGGGCCTTTAGGGCCATTCTTAGGAATTTATTTTGGAGGGTTTGTAATTTTGTAATTATTGTTTTTGAGGCAAGATTCCATATTGGGCATGCGTATRTTACTAATAATGGTCTTATAATTGCTGTTTATAGGAGTAGAGAACATTTCATTTGTATAGTAAAGCWATGRTTTTATAGGGGTTACAGTATTCGCAGCCTAGTGTACACTTGGTTAATAATTTTTTGTTGATGTGTATTTTCCAGCTTAGTTTTTCATCGAGGTGTAAGCCTAGATATTTTACTGAATCGTCTTTATTGTTCAAATTTATTTCTTGATTGTTTTCTTTTTTTATGTATTCTTAAGCGTTGAGCACCGTGTATAGATAAACCACTCATGGCAGAAGCACCGTCGTAGCCTTGATCAACTAGAAACTGGCAATTAATTACTGTTATTTTGCAAACTACTCRTTTTTAAGGTTGTAAGTAATAGCTTATGTAAATTACACAAAATCTTGACGAATTTTTTATTTCTTTTGTCATAATAACGCAAGTATACAGACATTTTCTAATAACCTAATACTGCTATWMCSWMRTACCGTTTCGATAGTCGTCGACGATAAACCGTTTCTTAGAGAAAAAATATTTAACTAAGCTATTAATCTTTGAAAACCGATATTGAATTGTCTATAAATGATAAATACCTATTTAATAAATTAGTGTTWTAACGTTGAAGCGGAACCAAAACGTTAGATGGCACGATATTTATTTTGTCGTTTAATTTGTATTTAATAAGGATAATAAACAGAAACAAATTATAAATTAAAGTAATTTAAAAACCATTCAAGTACTTCGAAATAAAAAGTATTTGAATAYTTTTACTTAGTAAGCTTTCTTTAGCAAGCACAGATTTACAAGACCACATGCACAAAGTTTGAATATTGCCTATTTYTAACTTCTTAAAAACTATCCGTTACCGTGATCCCGCTTCCTAATCTAGAAAAATTGTATGTAGACTGTAGAGGCATAAGAATAAATTTCTGTTGTCAGAAATCCCCAACTAAATACCTCAGATACATTCATTAATAGTTGCAAATAAACAATACAGAATGGTCGTGGAACATAATATGTTATGTATAAGATATATTATTATGTACTAAGATATAGATATCTTAGCCCAAGAGCGTGACTTATCTTTGTTTATTTAATTAATGATCATACTTGCTATAATTTATATAAAATAATTTCATTTTGATTCGGCTCGCGTGTTGTTAGTTTGGCAACACGTGCACCATTCGCAATACAATCATGTTACATGATTTTATTATGGACATCCGGTCAATTAGTCGTCAACAATAGGTCTTAAGGTCAATTTGGTCTACAAAATATAATTGATTTCACACATGAGGTAAATATACACTGTAACTCGTCAGTATACATTATAGTATAATATATATATATATAGTATAATATTTTGTTCTTAAACCCTATTATATAGTAATGATATGTGAATATAGTCATAATAGTTATCAACTAATAACTATCGTAATGATAATATATATATAAATATGATGCATCACTTATGAGTATAATACTATATGTATATTCATAAACTTAATACTGTATGTCTGTATGTCTGTATACATAATATACATTACATATGTATTTCATACAATTTTTATGATTTTGAAGAATTTTGTTAAAATTCTACCTTCAGATGCTCATAAAAATAATTGCGTATTAACGCTTAAAGTTWATTTTATTTTCAACTTTTGAGGAATCTTATTAAATCATCAAGTTTTTTTGGTCGTGCTAAAAATAATTTATCAACTTTAATAACAACAAAAAATTTAAGATTTTTCA